CAAAACCATTTAAACCCAAAATTTACCCAACCGTAAGCCAAATTTCACTCCAATTTTAGGCTCGTAGTACCACGCACAATACCTTTCCCTTAAACTTCAAAACAACCATACCATTGAATCCAAATAAACAAATAAACAACAGGAAAAAAAAAAATTTACCCGATTTTACCCAAATCACACTCGTATTTTAGGCTCGCAACCCCACGCACAAAAACCTTTCCCCTAAACTCCCACACAACCAAACGATTTAAACCAATTAAACCCCACCAAACAACCAGAACAGAAACAACCCAAATTTCATCCAGATTTTACCAATTTCCGTTCGGATTTTAGGCTCGTAGTCCCGCCCACAACACCCTCGAGGTCGTGTCTCAACCAGACGAAAAACCCGAGCAGAAAACACGCGACCAGAGCACCATCTACCACTGGATAGGGCGTGACGTGGGCGTGGTGGGCGTAGAGAACGTAGAGAAAACATCGAAGCGTCTCTAAGTACGGCGCCCACCAAGACCCGTCCTGCATGCCGCCCACACAGCCCACCGTCAGGAAGATGAAGAAGAGGTAGGCGGCGGTCGTGTACCAAGGGAATACCTGAAGGAGAGAGATATCTGATGTTAATATTCGTAACAAAATCAGTCAATCAATAGATTAATATATGAATAAATGAATAGATGAATAAATGAATATAAATGGATGAAAAATTAGGGAGGGGGAGGGGGAGAGGGGGAGAGAGAGAGAGAGAGAGAGAGAGAGAGAGAGAGAGAGAGTGAGAGAGAGAGAATGAGAGAGAGAGAGAGAGAGAGAGAGAGAGAGAGGGACAGATAGACAGACAAAGAGAGAGATAAATAAAAGTGAAAAAAATAGAATAAGGTGATATACAAAGAAAAAAATCGTGTAAAGAATAATGTTATTGTTTTAAGACTAAAGATAAAAAAACAAACATAAATAAAAAAATAATAAAATTCAGCGTAAAATGGGAATAATAAGCGAGAAAGAGATGATAGAAAAAAGAAAGAAAAAATAAGAATCCTGAGAGCATGACTCTTATGGAAAAAAACAAATTAAAAAAAGATAAAAAAAATACAGTAAAAAGTGATTAAAAATGCTGAGTCATCTATGTTTCATCAACATTAACGCTATTTTATCTTCTGGGTGATAATATAATTATTTTTCAGTTCGTTTGATATTTAATAAAGCACAATGTATTTAAAATTTTACAATAGGCTCAGTCTGACTTAGGATTAAATGAAAAGGTAGATAGATATAGTTAGATAGATAGATAGAGAGACAGATAGAGATAGATAGATAGAGAGACAGATAGAGATAGATCGTAATAACTTCGTATAGCATACATTATACGAAGTTATACGAGAGAGAGAGAGAGGGAGAGGGAGAAGAGTAAATGATCGTATAACTTCGTATAATGTATGCTATACGAAGTTATTACGATATATATATATATATAAAGAGAGAGAGAGAGAAAGAGAGATAAAGACAGACAGACAGACCGAACGATACATAAACAGAAACAAACCGAGCGAAACAAAGAGAAAAAAAGAACGAAAAAAATAGACAGCAACAACACACACAAAAAAGCAAACAGATCAAAAAAAAAAAAAAAAAAAAAAAAAAACACCACCAACAGGACACCATCATAACCTCACCATAACCCGCGCGTGAAGCAGCTGCTGGAACACCAGAGCGAGGAACAGGTGCACTATGCAGTACCACACGTTCCACAGGGGCACCTGGGGGTCGTACTTGGCTCGGGGGGCCTTGACGTCCGGGAAGGCGTCGGGGTCCCCCAGGCGAGGCGCCCCGGGGACCCAGCCGGGCCCGTAGAACACCGCCCTCAGGGAGTCGCTCCAGCTGCTCATGCCCCGCGCCTTCTGCAGGACCTCGCCGAAGTAGAAGAACTGGGGGCGGGGCGGAGAGAGGGAGAGAGAGAGAGAGGGATGAGGGGAAGGATGGATAATTATGGAGACGGATAGATGGATAAGGAGACGGATACAGATGGATAAGGAGATGGATAGATAGCAAGATGGATGGGTAAGTAGACGGATATATATTAAGGTGGATAGATGGATAAAGAGACAGAAAGATGGATAAGGAGACGGAAAGATAAATATGAAGACGAATAGATGGATAAATAGCAAGATAGACGGAGACGGATATATATCAAGGTGGATAGACGGGGCGGAGAGAGAGAGAGAGAGAGAGGGATAGATAATTATGGAGACGGATAGATGGATAAGGAGACAAATACAGATGGATAAGGAGACAAATACAGATGGATAAGGAGACGGATAGATGGATAGATAGCAAGATAGATGGATAAAGAGAGGGAAAGATAATTACGGAGACGGATAGATAGCAAGATAAATGGATAAGAAGACGGATAGAGAGATGGATAAGAAAACGGATAGAGAGCTAGAGAGATGGATAAGAAGACGGATAAAGAGCTAGGGAGATGGATAAAGAGACGGAAAGATGGATAAGGAGACGGATAAACATCAAGGATAGATGGATAAGGAGACGGAAGAGTTGGATAAGGAGATGGGAAGATAGATAAGGAGGCGGATATATAGATAAGGAGACGGATAGATAGCAAGATAGATGGATAAGGAGAAGGATATATACGTAGATGGATGGATGAGGAGAGAGAAAGATATTTAAGACGAATAGATAGCAAGATAGATGGATAAAGAGACGGATATATATAAAGGTGGATAGATGGATAAAGAGGCTGAAAGATGGATAAGGAGACGGATAAATAACAAGATAAATGGATGAGTAGACGGATACATATCAAGGTGGATGGATAAAGAGGTTGAAAGATGGATCGACAGCAAGATATATGGATAAGGGGATAAGAAGACGGATATATATATCACGATGGGTGGATAAGGAGATGGAAAGATTGCAAGATAGATGGAGACGAATAGATAGTAAGATGGACAAGTAGAGTGAGAGACATGGATAAGATAGCATGATAGACACAGGGAGAGGGGAGTGAGGGAGACGGAGAGGGGAGTGAGGGACAGGGAGAAGGGAGTGAGGGAGAGGGGAGTGAGGCAAAGGGAGAGGAAGAAGGGAGTGAGGGAGAGGGAGTGGAGTGAGGGAGAGTGAGTGACAGGGACAGGGAGAGGGAGTGAGGGACAGGGAGATGGAGTGAGGGAGAGGGAGAAGGGAGTGAGAGAAAGGGAGAGGGAGAAGAGTAAATGAGGGAGGAGAGGGAGGGGAGGTGAGTTAGTGAAGAAGAGTGGGAGAGCGAGAGAAAGAAATTTAAAATGTAAAGTTTTTTATCTATGACTTCCTCAATCACCTTTGACCTCTGTGCTTCTTTCTTGACCCAAAACCTCTGTCTCATGCCCTCCCTTTACCCTTATCAAAATCCATCCCTTACCTCTAACACCTGTCTATGACCTCCTTAGAC